ATGTGTGTATATATGTATATATATATATTATATATGTCATGTATTGTATTATAAAGTACCGTGTAACGCTTTGGTATTTAATTTTAAGTACATAGATGGATATATTGTATAATAATCTCCCATGGTTTTTTTTTTTGGTTGGAAATACGCGACAGAATTGGTGGAGATTAAATCGGTTGTTCGTTCTTTTTTTTTTTCTTTTTTACTTTCTTTACACATCGTGTGATATTCATTTTATAGTTAATTATTTATTTATTTATTTATTTATTAGACTTACTACGATAATTTGTAGGCGCGTCACGGGGCTAAATGGAATTTTGAATTAGGGGTGGAATTTGTTGGTGATTAATGTTTAGGATTATTTATGCGTGTAATCAGGTTTGTATTATTATTATTATTATACAACAACGTTTTGTAAGTACGCATTGTCTTTCTTTGGGGTTTTTTTTTTTTTTTTAATTATTACAATAAACCCATTTATTCCTTCTTTTTTCTTTTTATTTTATTCTTTCTAAAGTTTTACTTTTTTGCTTTTTTTTTTGTCCAATCGAAACAAAGTATAACGACCTCGAACACGCCATATACGTTTAAATATAATATTTTATTGATTTGTATAAGTACTCGCGAGTTCATCGACCCTTCGAATGAATTTTTTCGAAGACCAAAAAAAGTTCAAATTACATTTTTATTATTTAACTTATATAATTGTAATTCTCTTTTCTTTTTTTCTTCTTTTTTTTTTTTTTATTTTTCTTTTTCGTTGGCAAGGATTAACGACGACACATAAACGCGTACACACACATTCATATTTCGTGCTTTTTTTCGGCGTACGTACAGCCCACTTTTTTTTTTTGTTAATTTTTTTTCTTTTTTTTCAATTTTTTTTCTTTTTCCTTTCATAAATATTAATTACGTGAACATTTAAAACCCCCTCTCGACTTTAATATACTTCTTCATTTCCTTCTTTTTTCCATTACGAAGGAAATAAAAATAGGAGATGGGAAAAATACGAAGGATTTCGGTATGGGAGGGGGTGGATGGGGGGGGAGGACAATCATTTACGCGGCTTTCGATTCTTTCTTTTTCTTTCTTTTAAATAGGAATTAAAATTAAAGGGGCGAATTTCTGTCTGTCTGTCTGTCTTTCTTTCTTTTTTCTTTTTTTTTTTCTTTTTTTTTTCCTTTAATACAGAAAAGAGGAAGAGAAAAATAAAACACCACGCGAAAAGAAATTCGTCCGCTTTAATTGTTATTAAATTTTCCTATTATATTAATGAGCATTGCAGAGCACGTAGCATTAATTTATTTATTCATTTTACGATTATAAGAACGCCCATTCTAATACTTGATAAGTTATTAATTATATCGTATATACATTATGTCATTCCGTTCTTTCTTTTTTTATTTCTTTTTTTTGTTTTTTTTTATTATTATTATTATTATTCACCCTTCTCTAATACTCAATTAGTTTGTTTTAAACGCAGCTAATATTTACGTATGTATATATGTATATATATATATATATATAATGTATAGCACACTTCGTGATATGTATAGGTTTTCTTAGGTTATGTGGTCGGCCATTTATTTATACCGATAATTATGATAGCGAATTAAGTGAAAATAATATTAGAACAAAATTTCTATTTAAATTAATATACATTAAGAATTATTTTATAATTAAAAAAAAATTTCATGATTTATCTTTTATATTAACATTAATTTCATATATTATAAAATATAAATCATAAAATATATATTTTATATAATTTGTTGACTTATATTCCTGCTATTATAATAAATCGGTNTTTATTTGGTTTTTCTGTATTATTTTTTCTTCTTTTTTTATATATATATATATATATTCATTAGCACGACTAATAACCTTAATTGATATGTCGTAAAATATAAATCATAAAATATATATTTTATATAATTTGTTGACTTATATTCCTGCTATTATAATAAATCGGTACAATATTATTTATTAGTTTTTTTATTTGGTTTTTCTGTATTATTTTTTCTTCTTTTTTTATATATATATATATATATTCATTAGCACGACTAATAACCTTAATTGATATGTCGTAGATTATGCGCTTTTTAAGAAAACATCAAAAATGGAAACAAATTTGGCGCGCAATTTCAAACTTGATTGACACTCAAGACAACGTTTCTACCTTACAAGTTTCCATTTTTTTTTTATTTTTTTTTTACTATTACTATTAAATAAATAATATATCTTAAGCAGGAAAATATAAATAAATGGATGGATGGATGGATAAACGATCTTTTCTTATTAAAAAATTAATAATAATAATTATTATAATCGATGAGAACAAAGAGGAACTTTGAAAAATCTCGAGATCGTAAAAAAAAAATTCGTTTGTTAGTTTTAATATATCTAAGTTTACAGTTCCCTGCTCTTGTTATCGTTTTTTATTTTCCTCTTTCTTTTTCCTTCACCTTTTTCTTCTTTTACTTATTTTTTTTTTTCAACATCATAAAAATAACGAAATGAATCTAACGATAAAATACATAGACATAATATTCTTCCTTCATAAACTTTGTATTAACGAAGTGAAAGTATATTCCGTGATATTAATAACAATAACGAGCAACCGATGACTATAATGAAGAAAAAAAAATAAGAAAAAAAATATTTACAAGAAAATACTGGTTAGAGAGATTATACAGGGTGTATATAAAATATTCTCTATCCCTTTTTTTGTTTCATTCATTCAATTGTCTTCTATTATTTTTTTATATTCGATATAATCGAAATAATAATGATAATGATAAATCAGCTGATTTTTACAGATTCCAATTATCCATTAATTAATTGTCTCATGTGTTTCTTTTTTTTATGTTTGATATAAACATTTTTTTAATCGTAACACATTAATGATTTTATAAATCAACTGATTTTGACAGACAAATTTGTCAACGACCGATTCACTCTCTGTCTGTCCGTCCCTCGTTGATTAAACAAACTATTACAATTATTATCACGTTTACTTTCTTAGTGAAATAAAATAACAAGATACTGAAAACAAAGTCGAAAGTTTTTACGAGACACAAAAAGAGTCTTAAATCACGTCTCCACAGTCTTTCTAACAAATTTTTCTTTTCCTAAGAGATTTATTCACACGTTAAGAAATTGTTCTCTCTTTTATATTATTCATCTTTTCTTTCTTTTCAATTTCTTTTTCTTGTTCTTTTTTTTCCTTTTTTATTTCTTCTTCTTCTTCTTCCTTACTTACTTACTTACTTGGAAAGTTTTCTTCCTCTAATAATTTATCCGAGATAGCCAGACTTTACTCTTAAACACCTGCCTAACTAATTACGCATGCTAATTTATGCTACTCTTGAGATGTTCTTTTAATTTTTTTATTATTATTATTCTTTTTTTAATTTTAAAAAAACAAAACAAACGAAAGGATAAGATCATTCGCTCCACGAATGTCAATTAACCAATCAAAGTATAAACTGTACAACACTCGTGTTTAACATTTTTTAATATTTTTTTTTTCTTTTCTCTTTTTCTTTTTTTTTCTTTTTTTCTAATGTATACATACGTGTCTTTTAACACTGTCGTATTGATGTGTATGTATTTTTGTCTTTCATTTGTTTATTGGTTTATATTTGTAATATATATATATATAT